TTTATAAAACAATTATGTTGAATTTAAATCTTAAAAATTATGTATGAAAAAACAAAATTGATATTGATGACCATCCTTTATTAAAACAATATATTAAAAACAGCAAAAAGCCAGCTAAGCAGAAGTGCCTAACTACGAAAGTGGCGCGGCGCGGCGAATAAACGAAATTCCGATAGTGGCCACAAAAAGCGACTGGTACAGAAGATTTGCAGTTTCTTTTTCTCATTTTGGCTGTTCTTTCTTCCTCACCGGGCTCAACATTATAAAGTATATTAAAAATTAGCTTCGAATCTTCACATTAATTCAAAATCACGCAACATTTTTGTGCGTAGTTTACACCACTGATATCAAGAGCTTGATAAAATATTTGACGTTAATTACGTCGTTTTATGAAACCCAAATGGCATCAATTGGTCCGGAATCGAGCATTTGCCGTAAATGAAGCTCCGTACTTTTGATGGCGTGAATTACTCCGGTCTCCGGCTTTATGAAACCGAATTGGCATCAAATACGCCAAATCTGGCATAATTGACGGAACGCCGTTAGTAATTCCTTTTATGAAACGAGGCCCAGGTCACTTGAAGTGACCTCACCTCATCAAAACTTTCAATGTCTGTCATAGCTACACCGAGTGACCGATCGCTTTGAAACTTTCAGCGATTGCTAAGAGCAATAGCATGTACAAAATGTATATCTCAGAATTTTGATATCGATGACCTAAGGTCAGGTCAATTTTGCGACCTCCCCATTATAAGTCAATGGGAGAAAATTGAAATATGCCTCTTTTGGATGAAAGACATTATAAACACTCCCAAACACCGAATTACAAGTGGTTTAGACACACTGAACTTGAAAATGGTGTCCGTGACCCTTGTTTATGCCCTGAGGTCATCTTAGGTCACGAATGGTATCTAACAGTTTTTCGCAAATAACTTTTGATAGAGGCATGCTAGAGCGATGAAAACGCCTTAGATGTGTTCAGCTCGACGATACGGATCGACTGATATGCAACATGACCCTTTCCGGTCAGGTCATGACCTTGACCTGAGGTCAAATTTTCAAGTTGACCTTTCAAGGTCAAGTTATAGTTCATTCGATGCGTCTTGACGAGAGGAACACGATGCCGGTAAAAGTAAGCTCGTACATGGCTTGGGTCAAAAGTTATTGCAGAAAAACTGTTTTCGAAAAAATCGGTTATTTTTGCAGTTTTTGCCCCCTGCAGGCAAAACCGTTGACGTTAGGTCAAATCTGAGAGAATTACTCAGAAAGGGCGTTAATAGGGCTATCGAATGCGCTTTTCTGCGGCGCTGTAGCTCTATTGGTTCCCGAGTTATGCGTTGGCTTCTTGGAAATTTTCGACATTGGACCTGGAAATTGGCGAAATTTTGCCTTCAATGACCTCTGGTGACCTGACCTTTGACCTGACCAAAAAATTGACCGAAGTGATTTCGTCATTATTTTTTACGCTCTTTCGAACGCCGCCTTCCGCGTATCGCTACGTGGCCCAGGAGCCGAGTTACAAGGGGGGGTGTTCAAACACCCCCCCCCCCCAGCAGGGCGTGGAAATCCAGGACCCCCAGCAGGGCGCGGGTTAAAACAGAAGCCCTCGATGAAATCAAGCTATCCAAGAAAACCATCCAAGAAAACGTCTCGCGCAAAGTTTCTTGGATGGCTGGATTGCATTGCAAGACTGCATCACACATACTTGAAAAGAACACACAAGAAATGTATTCTTATTCTGTCTTTGGTTAGCAATTCCGACGAAGATCTGTGATCGAAATATCAATATCAATATATCCTTTTTGCTAAATTATATTTTACGAGGAAAGGTTATGTGATACTAAAACTGCTTTTATGATTATGTTCCTCGTATGTAGTATTATCTTCCTCGCACAAGCGCTCAACAACATAAAACAACTATCATTTAGTTGTTGGCCCTCTGGAGGCCAAAAACAATTCTCCGAAAGACCTCAGAAAGAGCTTTCAAATGCGCTTTTCCAAGGCGCTGTAGCTCTATTGGTTCCCGAGTTTTGCGTTGTGTGTTACAAAAATTGTTGAAATTGACAAAATTTGACCTTTAACCCGCGCCCCACTGGGGTCTGCGTATAACACGCCCTACTGGGGGGGGGGGGCTCTCCATAGCCCCCATCGTAACTCCGAAACTACTGGGCCGATCGTCAAAATTCAAATGGCGTCTGATAGCCCCGGAAAAATTGTCTAGCGAAACCTAATTTCATTGACCTCGAGGTCACCGATGACGTCACAGGTCAGGTCAAAGTAAAAATTATTAGCATTTTGGCTTGTTCACCTTTTGGGCTCTGGCCGCCGTCTTACAAGTCAGATCAGGCTAATTTTTGGTTTACACACTCGTGAATAGATGCTCTAGATACCCTGAGGGTACCAAACTTGTACTTTGATTTTCAGGTCAAGGTCAGGTTATCACAGGTCACGGAAATATTATATCATGCGTCGGTCACGTGACACATGCTTTATGGTCCATTTAGGCCATAGATTTCGAATTTGATGTCGTCTGTGTCATTCGAGGTCATTTTGAGTCGAATTTAGCTTAGGTCAGGTCACTTTCAGGTCAGAAAAGGTAAAATTTTGAAGTTAAAATGTTTCAACAAAAAAGATGTCTATAGGATGCAGTTTGAGCTCAGGAACACGATGGTGCTATTTATATTGGTGTGCGATGTCAAATACGTACTGAAAAATTGATTTGAAAAATTAATAATTGTGAATTTTTTGCAATAATGCGTATAACTTGGCCATTTTTGAAGATATTAAGCTAAAACTTGCTGGAGTTAGCCATGGGCATGTGTTCTATCACAGATGTTCCGGTTTTTCGAAGTCAAAAACTTTTTGAAAAAAAAATATATAATTTGAATTTTATGATATAAATTTTTTCAAGTGACCATCCCACCTTAACATTAATTTTGAGTTGAAATAGCCAAATTGGTGGCCATGGCCTGCAAATAACGGTTTGGGCACTCACAACATCGAAAAATGCTTTAATTCAGAGATATGGAATTTCAAACTTGCAGTTTTCGGATTCTAAGGGGCTAATGCATTGAGATGCCCCCTTAGAATTTGTGACGTCAGCGGTGATCTAACGATTTTAAAACCTCATACTAACATCTTTGTGAAGCAGTGGTGGTATATGCTATTCCAAAATGAAGTCGCTAGGAACAGCGGAGGTCCCCAAAAAGTAAACAAAAGTACCGGGTGTTCATTAATGAATGGAATAAAGTAGCTACGTCACGTGATAACAATAAATCACGTGAGCGCATTTTTTTCCTTGTAAATATGAAACATAGGCTTTATCATTTTTTAATACATGATAACCTTAATCACAGCGTTATCCAAACGCTTATGAATGGCTCTGGTTTCGAAGAGCCCAAATCGGCACTTCAAGACAAACTCGCCGTTCAATTATGAACTAGCGGGTTGGGTTGTGGAGAATTGTGCCGGGTTGGAAAGTCTTACCGTGGTTAGACGGGCTTTCCGCCTTAAGCTCTCTCCTAGAAAACCAGCAGCAATACCACATACCACATCTGAATGCTTTTCAGCGTTTAGTGGAGAGATTTAGGATGGTTGCAGCGACACGGCCATGTGTGCGCTCCGGGCGCCAGCCGATGACCCCTGGTGAAATGGAAAAGGTCAAGGATTTCTCCCGGGAAAATGTCACAGCTCATGCTCGGCAGGCGTGCGAAGAGCTTAAAATGTCCATTGGAAAGGTATGGAAGATCCTGATTCTGTCATGATTGGCCTCCCTCGATCGAAGGTCAACGATCGGATCATCTCGCGCGGAGGTACCCATCTGCACTGGCCCGCATACAGTCCCTACCTGTCCTGCCTGGATTTCTCGTTCTGGACCCAAGCTTTGAATCGCATGGTAGAATCGGAGCCGGAAACAATCAAAGAACTGAAAAAGGTCGTGGAGGACTTCGCCAGAACATAAACGAGGAGCAGATGAGGAAGATGGTCCGGCACACACAGCGCCGGGCAGAGCCGTGCGTAGCGGAGTGAAGGTGTTACTTTGAGCACTTCCTGTAGGAGACACAAGTGGCAAGCGGTGATCGCGATGATGTCATCATAAATGATAAACCCTCTTGAAAATGCATTGTGTGATTTGATAACGTGAGATGAAAATATATCTTTCTGGTGCCTACCTACTTTATTCCATTCATTAATGAACACCCGGTAAATGTATAATATCTTGAAAACCGGTGAATATTTTTCGGTGAAATTTTGTAGATATTCGTTTTTGCTCTTTCTGAACCGAGCGACATCACTTTCAGGCCAATTCATTAACTTTTTTGAAGGTGGGAGGGTCCCTTTAAATTTTCGAAATTTTGAAAATCCGAGATAGCAGTTTGATAGCGCGGTCTGTTCTGAGAAATTAGCAAAGAAATTAGATCTAGGTTAAAAACTGAGCTCTTGGGAGCGATTGCCGTGGTTCAATGTTTTGCGTCGGAATCGGCCGAACATGACGTAACTCTGACGTCATTTCCGGCCGACCTATGGTAGCTACGAAGTTTATATTTTGACACAAGGTGTCAAATTGATGCAGCCGAAGATACTGAAAGTTTCGCGTCGATACGTCCAGCGGTTTGGAAGTTATTGCAGAAAAACGGGAGGGGGCGCGGGTTAATGGCCTCTGGTGACCTGCCTTTGAACTGACCTAAGACCTAAAAAGCATGACCGAAGTATTTCTGCCATTATATTTGACGTTCGTTCGAATGCCGCTTACCGCGTGTCGCTACATGACCAAGGAGCCGAGTTAGTCGGGGGTGTTGAGACCCCCCCCCCCTCCCCGGCCCTGCACGGTTGGCACCGAGCACCGGCCCGGCGCGGGTTAATTGGGTTAAATCAAGCATACCCGCTCGTGTCGTGCCTCACGCTGTGTTCAGATTCATGAAGAATATATTGACCGCTAAAACAAATTTGTTCCATTATTTTTATGGCAGGGAAGACGGGATTGGTAAGGTACCACCTACCTCGCCGGCCGGCTGTGCTGACTTGAAGATATCATAAGGCTGAAGGATCTTCTCGTAGTGGTGTTTTAACGTAAAACTGAGGTGGTGTTTGGCCGTGGGAAAGCCCATTCGGTGTGCGATCTGGTTCCAGCGGCGGCTGTGGGAGACGGCGTCCGGTCCACCTGGCAACACAAGGCACCGCGTCCAACGGGTCAGTACTCGCCCACCTGGCAACACCAGGCACCGCGTCCAGCATATTTACGTCTGGACAACGAGTTGCGGGGAAAAGTGCTGATTGTGTTGCAGTTTTAGGAGCCGGTGATTAGGCTGGATTTTTGGGTTACTTTTTCGTTCCGATTCATGTATTTCATAGTGTTTGGCTTTTGAATATTTTAGTTCTTTCAGATAAATATTACTCGCCTTACAACTTTTGTAAAAACGTTTCATTTTTTATAAGCCGACGTTCAGAGTCCTAAAAATACACCAGCACTACAATCATTGTAAACCTTGTTGTAAACAAACAAATGGAGCACACAACCTGGCTCTGTTCCAAGGCCAGTTTTTGTACGTCGTTTTGTTGGATGTTTTGAATCCCTTGAGATTGACTTATATCATATTTAAGAAGCATGTTGACTGAAAACAATCTGAAGTATCCAGGAGGCTGACAGAGGTCCTGACTACTGAGCAATATCAATATCAAGTTGAACAAGTTGTGAAATTTTGGTTGATAAACGCAAGTTGATCGGGCTCATATATAAGCAAGAAAAAGTAAAATTAAAAGAGCTTATTGTCCAAAAACAAGCTATAATATTGCAGACCTTGGAGCAATACTGAAGAGCACGCTGAGCAGGATCATGCCAGAAAATGTTGACTGATGAGCGCATATTGATGTATTGGTATGAATAATGAATGGTAATTTACAGCAGCAAGATAAATTAGTGCTAACTATCAAGTTAAAATCTAGAATGAATGGACTTGGGCAGTTTTACTATGCTTACTATATTTAGATGCTATGCAGATTGTAATGTGCATCGGTACTCAGTGTCTGGCAAATGAAACATGCAATCATTCCATTGCTACTGGAGGAGAAAGCTTGGATCACTAAATCCACTTTATGTTGATTTTGATGTTAATCATCATCACTGTATTTCTTTAAAAAAGGATTGTAGTAAAATTGTCAATGTGACAATACATGCAATGATGTGATCATATTATGTGTTCATAGTCATTCGTAATAGTCATTATTGGTCCAATATACAATGGCAAAGCTCTCAGTCTCAGCGTTTCTTCCTGTGGATGGCCAGCAATGACTCAGAGCTTAGAAGTATTAGGTTTCTTCACAGGGCTGGAATAAAAAGTACTGAGGGTAATCTTCTTCCACCAAGGAACTCTACTTTGACATGGTATGAGATGTAGGCACAAGTAGGTAGGTGCTCAGTTCCTATAGTCAGTAGTTGACAGTTGTGTATGTTTAGTCGGGTTAGCTTAGATCAGATTGTTAGTTTTTTAATTTGCCAAATGTCCATAAAAATGTGACCTGAGCAATGAGCATACCTGAACCTGACTAACCCGACGGCTGACCTAACCTCAATCATCACACATATTTGCATCCTACCCAAGACCTGCATGGCAGTAGCACCCAGTTATAGGTAGGTACTCACCCTAACTCAATCTTACCTGCTAACCTTCAACTTGCCAAAAGTTAGCTCACATTGCCAAGCTGTGCCCAGGGAAACAGTCAACTGAGGAACTGGCTCATTGGGTGGCTGGTGTGAGTCTGTGCATTTAAAGTGTTTCTTCTCTGAAGCTGCTCTGCACTGCTGTATGCCATGTTAGATGCTCAGAAAATGTGGGAAATGATTACTAAGCTACTTAAGTGCTTTGTTAATGCTCGAGACATGAACAAGTACAGATCCTGCAGGGTACAGCTATGAGTTAGGTGCTAGGTGAGTAGAGTATGTTATGTGAATGTGCTGTTCCCTGTTTGACCGTAAGTATACAAACAAGCACAGGGTCACAGTTATATTCAATCTCCACATAAACATACAACAAAAACGGCCATATAGCCTAACTCCGAACACACCACAGATAACTTAATTGCCTTTGAAGGCACAAAATGTTTTGATTAACAGGACAGGTTTACAATATATCCTCTGTCCTAGGGGGATCTTGCTGCCAAGTTGAGGTATGATGACTGAACTTCAGGATTGATCAACCTTTTCTTAGCCACTGCTTATATACGAGAAAGACCAAATGCTTGTTTGTTTTGATTTACAGGACATGTATACAATATATCCTTTGTCCTTGGGGGATCTTGCTGCCAAGTTGAGGTACGATGAATGAACTTCAGGATTGATCAACCTTTTCTTAGCCACTGCTTATAAACGAGAAAGACCAAATGCTTGTTTGTAAACTGCGTTGAAAATTTAATGATCCACCTTCAATTCTGACATGAAGGCACAAATGAAATAGTTCCCTCTCCTTTTGGAATACACAAAGCAAAATATTTGATAAATTTTAGTGGATGGACAAGAGCAATTCAAATTAGCATAGCTTTCCCTCAAGTTCACTTCTGGCACTGTTGATGAATTACAACTGACGCTTATTCGCTTCATATTTTGTAACAAACGCGCTAAAACTGCAATATAACAGCACTATATCCTTCTTGACAAAATGTATTAAAAATTTAGCCCTGATGGCATTCGTTCTTGGTGAAAACGTAATTACAAAATATTTTGTAGTAACTATTAAATTCCGGCCGAAAACAGTGCACGGTTTAAAAAAGAATCATTCCAATGACGGTCCATTCTTGCGGTCCTGAAATCGCCACTATTTCCGGCCTCTCCAACGCAACTCGTTGTCCAGACGTAAATATGCCCGCGTCCAACGGTACCTTGCCCGCCTGGCAACACCAGGCACCGCGTCCAACGGGTCAGCGCTCCCCCCCCCCCCCTGTGCTCCCCGTCCCCGTCAGCGCTCCCCTGTTCCAACTGTACCTACAACCCAATCGGGGATCGCTCCAGTGTCAAGACAGTGGCTCCGCTAGGAGAATACGAAAAGTTTACTATAATACACATTTTTCAGCTACCACCTTAACTCGCGTCCCGTCGAGGTCTGGCAGGTTTCAGTCCCTGTGGGGAAGGTCAAAGCCCCCCCCCCCCCGTCGTATCTCAGGAACCAACAGTCGGATCAGAAAAAATAAAACAGTGTTCGAAAGATGTCATCGAGATGCACCAAAGCCTGTTGGTACAGCATTGGACTCCCGGTGGTGAGAGCCCGGGTTCGAATCGCTCTGGCGCAAGATATTTGAGACTCCTGACGGGCATGGTCTGCGGTTGGTGGGAGCAGTCGCAGCCAGTCGGAGTCAGTTGAGTCGGACAGGACGTGTCCGGGTTTGAAGGGCACGTTAAACTTTGGCATTTAAATTCTCCCGTTACCAGGAATTGCGCGATCGGACGGTAGGGGTCGGGTCTACGCAACAAGCTCTGCTTAGCGTGGGCTCCGCCTCTGACAAGCCGTCCATTCAAACATTCGAGCTAAATTCTTTCTTTAATGCACAATAAACAGCATCAATGACTCAATTTTTAACCCATGACGTCACAGAAAGGTCAAATGAGGTCAAATCTGTCCAATTTACGACTAGCAGTCGGTCATAAAAAATAATGTAGATTTCTCAAATCAGTCTGGAAGGATAAAATTCATGGATTTGACCCGTGATAGTCATCTGAATGGATGATGACAAGTGACGTCACGAGAGGGGTCGGCCTCCACCTACGACTAGGCACAAACGTGACTCGTGGTATGGAACGGCATGCCGAACTTTGATATTTGAATAGCTATGAAGGCAACTCGTACATCTGTACGTCACAGCAACCTGGTTGGCCTTTTTCCTTTGAGCTATGACGTCACGGGAAGGTTAAAAAGGTCAAATTGTATCGGTTTGCAATCACAAACATTCTATTACGTAAAAGGGACTTATCACGTAAAAAAAGAGACGGGACTTTTCATACTTACTGAAGAAGAAATGGATATGCATCATAAATCTTACCCTAGACTAGTTTCAAGTACCTACACATGTTGGTAATAATGTTACGTCATAAGAAGAGTCACTATATTTAATCCTTCAAATGGCTATAATTATAGCAGTTTTAGACATTTTGTTTTTTTTTCGGCATGTATGAATAATAAGAATAAGAGAAACCATATGTACAGGGTGTCTCAAAAATTCGTTGACACATTTTCCATGCCAGAAAAGCATATAAGAACCAGTCAAAATATACCGCTTTGATGCCTATGTGTACAGTCGTAATAGTACCGCATAAAGTAACGGTGGATCCATCAAGCCTGACCGAGGAGGGGCCTGCTAAATTTGAGTCATCGAATCCATTGACATCCTCGTCCATTCCCCCAGGTCAATTGGTTCGGTAACTTTCAGATTATAGACGGCCCTTCCTCGGTCAGGGTTGATGGATCCACCGTTACTTTGCGCGTTACTTTTAAAGGGAGATAATGACCTTTTTCCACAAAATCAGAGTTAGGACCATTTTCTGACAAAACACAACAAGTTATAATGTAAATTAAAACCATTTTGCTCAATTCGGTACCTTGCCGCAAATATCTCAACTTGAAGTCACGTTAGCGGGGAGCGCTGAAAATGACCGTTGAATAAGTACTTACATCACTTTTTGGTACTTGCATGTAATTTTGTAAAATGAGCGTATTCCTTACATTTGATCTTCATCACATCTAGTTAGTTAATAGTCGTCTATAGTGCCTTCAAAAGATATTCATGGTTTGGGGGTGGTTTATGTCTAAATTTACGCAACTATTTTTCCTGTTCATCATCTGACGCCATAGGTATGCTGCTATTTTAGTAGCAACTGTATCGAGCGACTGATTGAGCGAACGACGACTCCTCGTTCGGCAGAGAAACGACCTGAATTTTTGTCACGAGCATCGCCAAAACTTTTCTCCCTTTCTTGTGCTCATTTATTTTCGGTCGCAACTTATATTTTGGTGGAAACAGGCGCACTGTAGTATGTATTGGATTCTTATGATTTTGTTAAATTATTCAATAATTCGTTTAATTTATCGGTGTGTCATCTGGTACTGACGTCCTATTCTGTTCTTCGTTTCAGGATGAAATTTATATGAACCTTTTTGATTTTGTTGATTTTCTTTG